GTTGTTGTTGTCTAAAAGCCTCAACCATGTCCATAATCATTGCTTCCATTCTATCAAGTCGTGAGGAGGTTGAATCCTCCCCATCTTCTGCCCTTGTCCTTGCTATGATCTAAGGGAACATACATTATAACTTGCACAAATATTATACACATAAGTCACATTTACAAATGCACATTTTCACGTTATACCTGATTATGAATGCATTATGGATGCAACTTAAATCCTTTCTAGACTTCTTATTGCTTACATGGACTCATGTGTGAGACATTAACCCATGCTCTGATACCACTCTGTCATGATCCGAACCTGCCCCTAAAAGTTTGGGTCATAACTGGCCGATGATCACTTGATTACCTTCAGCCTCAAACAAACATACAGAGTAATTATAGTAATGGGGCCGAAAATGGAAGTATACAATGAAAGAATGAGTCCACTAAGCTATGCCAATATGAGCAAAATGTAACAAAATCACATCATTTACATGCCCACGCAAAAGAATATAGGTATCGATGGAAATTTGTGCAAAATGTTTACAAACCCAAGACCACATTAGCAAGACAAAGTAAAGTTGAAATATGATATGAGTCAAAGACAAAACTCCATCTCGGAGGCATGACTCGATTGGGTCTCAAAAATAATAGTTCCTGAAGCTGACTCTAAGGGCGTGCTCCATATTGCGGATTACCTACATGTGTATACATAAAATTGGGTGAGAGGAGCTCAATGAGTAATAATACAATAAACAGCGCAAATAGATAGTCGTAGATTCTCACAATACCCATAATCGTATAAACAAAACAGCCTTAGGCCCAATCATATTTCAAAACGGCCTCAGGCCCAATCATATTTCAAAACGGCCTCGAGCCTAACATTGCAGATGTCATATAATATTAATGAAGTTTTTCATTTCAAACAAATCACAAGGTCGACACCAATCACCATTCATAGTTTGAGGTACACAATAACAAACATATATGTATGGTATTATTACTCATAGTGTGATTGATCTTGTGGCGTTTCCTTCGGTACATAACCTACACCAAACACGTCACACATGTATTCGATAAATAATTCGTTCATTTCATATGCACTTTCTTTTAGCGATTCACACCCCTTTTTAATGATTTCTAATCATCATTTCACTGCCAAAAGGGTTTAAATAAGGTTAGAAATGCATTCCGGAGAACGGGAGTATCAATACTAAAAAAAAAAAATAATAATAATTTTTCCCCTTGCCTGGCCACACGTGCGGCCGGTCCAACCGCTCAAGCGATCTGGCTCCGCACCTGTGGAAATTGTAGTTGCTTGAGTGCACAATGCTATCCAATTTTGGTTCAAGGCATGGGCCGCTCATGCAGAGCTCGTGGCCGCACGAGCGGTCTGGGTACACCCTAACAATCCAAAAATGGCCAAAAATGTCAAACCTTCCAAACACATTTCCAAGCTCAAATCAAAGCAAAACTCACTTTAAAACATGATACATAAGCATGATACAAGTGTAATTCCACATTGAACTTATCAATCTTGCATCAACATCAATTTCATGGTCTCATCTTTTCACAATTTCATGGTTTACATACACAAATTCAAAATACATACATTTATGAATGATTCTCTCACAAATCTTGTTTGTATAAACCATCTAGGGTTTGTTTCATGGGTCAATCATAAGAATGAACTCAAATCAATCAATGATGTAGAGATTAGGGTTCAATTTCATGCCTTTAGCTCTAGTCACTACACAACTCAAAACCCTAGCTCAAAATTCCTAATTTCTTCACGATTTCATGACAAAGATGAGGTAGAGACAAAGATTGTATGTAAATTTCCATACTTTAACTCAAGTCTATGGTTTGCCCTTTGATTCTCTAAAATCCCTAGCTTTATTCTCTCTCTCTCTCTAACTCACTCTTTGGAGCTTTCTTCCAACAATAAAGAACAAAATGGGCTAACATATATCACTAAACTCAAAAATCTTAATTTATTCATTATGAATCATAATTTTTCAAAATTTCACCATAATCTCTATAAATCATGCTAATCACAGATGTGGAGTCGGTTTTTGTTTATCGCGCCTCTAAGACTACCAATTTTCGTTGAAAGTTATAATTGCAACAGATATTCCTACGTTCAACAGATATTATCCCAAATTCACATAATTCACATATTCAAACTTGCAAATTCATGTTAAACACATAATCACATGCATAATTAAGCATAGTGCGGATTAGTTTATCATAGAAAGGGGTTACGACGGCGGCTTAGATTTGGTTTGATTGCAACGGCAATGTTGATTTGTTTTGTAGCGATCTCTCTCTCTCAGCCGATCATCTGGTCGTCATAATGCATGGAATTCTCGGAAGGTCATATATGTATATATAATTATCTAGCAGATGCATATATGCACTCATATGTTCTTAATTTTTGTTTTTGTCTAGTAAATTGTTTTATTAGATCTTGCTTTTGATAATATTTACTTTAAATTTGATCGATTTGAAAGATAAAGTTAGATTTTTCAATTACTGTTTGATATGCTTTAGACCTTTTACTTTTTTTGTTCCCCTAGTATCTTATATTTCGCGATTTAGAAATTCATAGAAAATTCAAACTACAAAGACTCAAAACTTCTTAAATTCTGAGAATTCAAAACTATGAATCTCACCCATTATACAGATTATAAAGACTCAAAACTTCTAAAATTATGCCACATTATCTATTAATATAATAATTAATATATCAATTGGTACGAATAGCTTTACTCATAATTTTGGATTGTTTTGGAAAAATGGTTAAAAGCTTATTTATTGATTTTTTTTTTTAAAAAAAATGTGTAAAAAAATAAAGAAATAATATGATCCAAAATAAATTAAAAATTAAAAGATAATTTTTAACCATCTCCCTAAAATAACCTTTATAATCACCGTCGCTAAATTCCAATTCCAAGTAACAAATTAAAAGAACCAAAAAAAGATAGTTTATCAATCAGCATATCGTTTGGAATTGGGACCTTTTGGGAGCCAATTATGTTCCTAGAGTTTTTTTTTTTCTTTTTCTGGGTTGTTATTAAATTATACATATATATATATTGGGTAATGCTACAGTATGCAAATTAAGATATTTGTAAGTTTTATCATCACAAATATCATAATTCAATTCTATAAGAATTATAATTGTTAGGTTTTTGTTATTGGCAATCCCGTTTGATAAAACTTCTTTCAGTTGTAATTTTATTCAATCTTTTATTAAGTGAGACTATGAGTATTTAGATGCGAATCCAACCTGAATTGTGCCTATGCAGAAGAGTTTGTGATCTTAATCCTATCATGTTTGCCACTTCGCTCGAGTGGAGATTGCGACCTTTCAAAAGTTTCATACGTCTACAAAAGTATTGGGAGTTGTATTTTTCTGCTCTAGCGGCCTTTCCTGCGCTCGAGCGTAGATCTTTGTTCTAAAACACGTGTTTTAGTCAGTCCAAGCGGCCATTCTTGCGCTCGAGCGGAGATCGCGGATCTGTTTGCTATAAAAGCTGCGATTCAATCAGGTTTTAGGGTACGACTTCCAGATCTTCTTCTTGGGTATTAGGGTTTTCTTCTGGAGCTTCTTTGCATGTTTCCTTTGATATCTGTAAGAGTTTAATAATAAATTGAGTAGATTATATCAAAAAATTTGTTTAGTTTGTTTTATTTATTCAATACAAAAGAGAGAGTCGTTCTTCGGTAGATTCCGAAGAATTTGAGCCTGCAACTTTGTTGGATTCTATAGTGGCTCATCGTTGTGCATTCAACATCAGCGTTGTAAATTCAACGTTGAACAAGACAATTCCGAGGTGAAGACAGGGCTAGAAGAGGCACATAAGGGTCAATTCGATTTGGGCGTAGATTCTCTAAGTAATTGAGAGTACACTTGTGTAATTCCTTTGTAGATTGTTTTGTAGCTTTTACCCGTGATTTTTTTATCACAATTGGAGGCGCTCTAATTGTGATTTTTCCATGTAAAATCGTTGTGTCGATTTGTCTTTGATTGTTTCATTAGGATTGCTATTTACTGGTTAAAATTGATATATAATCACAAATCAATATCTCCGAGATCTAAGATTTTTAAATAACTATAAATAATAATTAAAAAAAATTATAACTAAACATCACATAGGATATAAGCAAAGAATTTTTCGATCACAACGAAATAATACCATAATCAATATCACGAGATCAATAACTAACACCATAATAGATTATAACCAAATATCTTAAAAATATATAGAATTTTCCATAGATTTTCTGAAGACTCTCTTTCTATTTCCCCAAGTGTGCTGGCTTTCCTTTTTTGTTTTTCTTTGAACTCAATAAGGCAAAGGCTGCTTATTAGTAACTTGGGAATATGCATACATATATACTAACATACTACTTTAGAAAGTCATTGATGAAAATACAACAAAATTATATATATATTAGCTTTAAAATGACTTTGAAAGCAACATTTTCTTCTCCAAAGTGGCCTCTAAAATATTAGAGTCCATAAAAAGGTTATGTCTAGAGAGGGTCTGAATAGTCCAAATTCTAAAAATTATCACTTCAAATTTTTTTTTCCTATTAACAATTTCAATTCAATGAAGCAAATCACACAAAAATTGATGGCAATAAAAAAAACAAAATGATTTAACTTGAAAACCCCAAGAAAAACTCTCATTCAGGAAAAAATTACAACTCTGACCAAAATTCACTAAGACAATTTTAAGAATACACAATTCATGCGAAAGAAATAGCTAATAGTTTTAGTACCTACATTAGGTAATCAGTGGTTAATACTCGTCTCTTAATTAAGATGGATACAACGAACACAAATTTTTATGTTTATCAAATCTCCAAAGCCTAAATTACTCAATGTCCCTGTACTAAGATATTTTTTTCTTTCCAGCTACATTTATCCTTGTAATTGTCAAATTAGCCACTAATCAACAACATTTCATGTTTAGATATTCTTCTCGGATTTGAGACTTATAATGATCAACGCGACAAAGAAACTCATTATGGACGACATCAATGACATCAACGAGATAGTCACAAGGTAACTGTTTAATTTCTAGTTGTCGGCATTCACCAAAAGCTAGATACCATTGTTGAAGACGACCATAAAATTTAGCTACACATTTAGCGATTACTAAAACAATCGTAGCAGCAGACCGAAGAATTTGTTAAAATCTCTATATGGCTAGGTGAAGTTGCTTGGACACATCCCATCTATGCAATACTTGGCCAAAAACATCATAGAACACAATGGTTGATTCAGTTTGTGTCAACTACACAGACATGATGCCTTGCCCATCATAGAAGAAGTTTAAACCTTCTCTATTCTTTTTTTTAACATCTCCCCTCCATGCCTTTGACCCTGCTCCACTAGTTAGGAATTGGATGGGGCTGCAACAATCACAACTCAACTTGCATCAATCACTATTTAACTCAGTTCTTTTTTTCAAAATCTGTTTTCTCCATATGGGTGTCTATTGAGTTAATTACACTTCTTAGCTATATGATTTGATTCAAATTTCACTTTGATTCCTATAATTTCAAATTGTACAGTTTGATCCATATACTTTAAATCTAGTTTCAATTTAGCCTTCTTGTTCAAGTTGGAGGTTAAAGTTAACGATTTTGGAACATTTGTCAGTTTTCTAAGGTGTACACGTAGGAAAAATTAACAAAAATTTGGACGGAATGACCAAATTGAAACTGAATTTAAAGTGTAGGCACCAAATTATTCAATTTAAAACTATAATAGATCAAAGTGAAATTTGAATCAAATTAGTAAAAGAGTTAAAAATGTAATTAACCCTTCTCTCTTTTTCGAGATATAAAAATAAATTTTGAAAGTATCTTTTTAGTGGTTATTTTTATCAAATTAAATTTTATTTTCTCAAAAAAAAATTCAAATTTTGAAAACGAAACTAAATAGAATGATTAATGCAAACAAATATCATGCAATTTCAGCCCACATGGGGTATTTGGTCGAGCGAGTGTACCTTTTGGGGTCACTAATGTGTTCAAGGCAATGGTCATGCCCATTCATGTAAAAATCAACATTGTTGGCCTGAGATTTTCATAACACAAGTGACAAACATTGTTAGATGCTTCAATGGGTAATGGTGCTTTGCATTAGTGGTTTTATTGAAGTCACATTTTGGCCCTGTAAAATTAAAAGTGACACTTTGCACCTTATAATTTTGTAAAAATTGCACTTTGCTCTTTGTAAAATAAAAAGTCACACATTGCAGCTTATAGTATTGTATAAGTTGCCCTTTGTGCCCTTCATTTTAAAAAGTTGTTAAAGAATTTAATGAAAACTAAGGGTCTGAAGTGTAATTGTTCCAAAATCACAGGATGCAAAGTCCATTTTTATATTGGGTAATGCTACAGTATGCAAATTAAGATATTTGTAAGTTTTATCATCACAAATATCATAATTCAATTCTATAAGAATTATAATTGTTAAGTTTTTGTTATTGGTAATCCCGTTTGACAAAACTTCTTTCAGTTGTAATTTTATTCGATCTTTTATTAAAGTGAGATTATGAGTATTTAGATGCGAATCTAACCTGAATTGTGCCTATGCAGAGGAGTTTGTGATCTTAATCCTATCATGTTTGCCACTTCGCTCGAGTGGAGATTGCGACCTTTCAAAAGTTTCACACGTCTGCAAAAGTATTAGGAGTTGTATTTTTCTGCTCGAGCGGCCTTTCCTGCACTCGAGCGTAGATCTTTGATCTAAAACACGTGTTTTAGTCAGTCCAAGCGGCCATTCTTGCGCTCAAGTAGAGATCGCGGATCTGTTTGCTATAAAAGCTGCAATTCAGTCAGGTTTTAGGGTACAACTTCCAGATCTTCTTCTTGGGTATTAGGGTTTTCTTCTGGAGCTTCTTTACTTGTTTCCTTTGATATTTGTAAGAGTTTAATAATGAATTGAGTAGATTATATCAAAAGATTTGTTTAGTTTGTTTTATTTATTCAATATAAAAGAGAGAGTCGTTCTTCGGTAGATTCCGAAGAATTTGAGCCTGCAACTTTGGTGGATTCTATAGTGGCTCATCGTTGTGGATTCAACATCAGCATTGTAGATTCAACGTTGAACAAGAAAATTCCGAGGTGAAGACAGGGCTGGAAGAGGCACATAAGGGTCAGTTCGATTCGGGCGTAGATTCTCTAAGTAATTGAGAGTACACTTGTGTAATTCCTTTGTGTCTTCTTAGTGGATTGTTTTGTGGCTTTTACCCGTGATTTTTTTATCACAATTGGAGGCACTCCAATTGTGATTTTTTCATGTAAAATCGTTGTGTCGATTTGTCTTTGATTGTTTCATTAGTATTGCTATTTACTGGTTAATATTGATACATAATCATAAAATTAATATCTCCCAGATTAAAGATTTTTCAATAACTATAAATAATAATTAAAAAAAATTATAACTAAACATCACATAGGATATAAGTAAAGAATTTTTCGATCACAACGAAATAATACCATAATCAATATCACGAGATCAATAACTAACACCATAATAGATTATAACCAAATATCTCAAAAATATTAACCGAAGGTACATATAGAATTTTCCATAGATTTTCTGAAGACTCTCTTTCTATTTCCCCAACTGTGCTGGCTTTCCTTTTTTTTTTTCTTTGAACTCAATTAGGCAAAGGCTGCTTATTAGTAAGTTGGGAATATACATACATATATACTAACATACTACTTTAGAAAGTCATTGGTGAAAATACAACAAAATTATATATATATTAGCTTTAAAATGACTTTGAAAGCAACATTTTCTTCTCCAAAGTGGCTTTAACTCTGAAATTAACTCTAAAATATTAGAGTCCATAAAAAGGTTATGTCTAGAGAGGGTCTGAATAGTCCAAATTCTAAAAATTATCACTTCAAATTTTTTTTCCTATTAACAATTTCAATTCAATGAAGCAAATCACACAAAAATTGATGGCAATAAAAAAAACAAAATGATTTAACTTGAAAACCCCAAGAAAAACTCTCATTCAGGAAAAAATTACAACTCTGACCAAAATTCACTAATGCTATGTTTGGTTGAGGGATTTGAGGAGAGATTTGGAAAGAGAAATGGAAAAGGTAGGTGAAGTGTGAAAAAAATATGCCTACATTTCACATAGTTTCTCACATATTTTCCCTTTCCCTTTCCCTTTCCAAATCCCTCCCTAAATCCTCTAACCAAACATAGCGTAAGACAATTTTAAGAATACACAATTCATGCGAAAGAAATAACTAATAGTTTTAGTACCTACATTAGGTAATCAGTGGTTAATACTCGTCTCTTAATTAAGATGGATACAACGAACACAAATTTTTATGTTTATCAAATCTCCAAGGCCTAAATTACTCAATGTCCCTGTACTAAGATATTTTTTTCTTTCAAGCTACATTTATCCTTGTAATTGTCAAATTAGCCACTAATCAACAACATTTCATGTTTAGATATTCTTCTCGGATTTGAGACTTATAATGATCAACGCGACAAAGAAACTCATTATGGACGACATAAATGACATCAACGAGATAGTCACAAGGTAACTGCTTAATTTCTAGTTGTCGGCATTCACCCAAAGCTAGATACCATTGTTGAAGACGACCATAAAATTTAGCTACACATTTAGCGATTACTAAAACAATCGTAGCAGCAGACCGAAGAATTTGTTAAAATGTCTATATGGCTAGGTGAAGTTGCTTGGACACATCCCATCTATGCAATACTTGGCCAAAAACATCATAGAACACAATGGTTGATTCAGTTTGTGTCAACTGCACAGACATGAAGCCTTGCCCATCATAGAAGAAGTTTAAACCTTCTCTATTCTTTTTTTTAACATCTCCCCTCCATGCCTTTGACCCTGCTCCACTAGTTAGGAATTGGATGGGGCTGCAACAATCACAACTCAACTTGCATCAATCACTATTTAACTCTCTTCTTTTATTCAAAATCTGTTTTCTCCATATGGTTCTCTATTGAGTTAATTACACTTCTTAGATTCAAATTTCACTTTGGTTTCTATAATTTGAAATTGTACAGTTTGATCCATATACTTTAAATCTAGTTTCAGTTTAGCCTTCTTGTTCAAGTTGGAGGTTAAAGTTAACGATTTTGGAACATTTGTCAGTTTTCTAAGGTGTACACGTAGGAAAAATTAACAGAAATTTGGACAGAATGACCAAATTGAAACTGAATTTAAAGTGTAGGCACCAAATTATTCAATTTAAAACTATAATGGATCAAAGTGAAATTTGAATCAAATTAGTATAAGAGTTAAAAATGTAATTAACCCTTCTCTCTTTTTTGAGATATAAAAATAATTTTTAAAAGTATCTTTTTAGTGGTTATTTTTATCAAATTAAATTTCATTTTCTCAAAAAAAAAAATTCAAATTTTAAAAACGAAACTAAATAGAATGATTAATGCAAACAAATATCATGCAATTTCAGCCCACATGGGGTATTTGGTCGAGCGAGTGTACCTTTTGGGGTCACTAATGTGTTCAAGGCAATGGTCATGCCCATTCATGTAAAAATCAACATTGTTGGCCTGAGATTTTCATAACACAAGTGACAAACATTGTTAGATGCTTCAATGGGTAATGGTGCTTTGCATTAGTGGTTTTATTGAAGTCACATTTTGGCCCTGTAAAATTAAAAGTGACACTTTGCACCTTATAATTTTGTAAAAATTGCACTTTGCTCTTTGTAAAATAAAAAGTCACACATTGCAGCTTATAGTATTGTATAAGTTGCCCTTTGTGCCCTTCATTTTAAAAAGTTGTTAAAGAATTTAATGAAAACTAAGGGTCTGAAGTGTAATTGTTCCAAAATCACAGGATGCAAAGTCCATTTTTTGTTTATTTTAAAAGTGCACAAGTACAAATTTTACAAAAATATAAGGTTGCAAAGTGCAGTTTGTTTTTTATTTATTTATTTTGTTACCTGAAGAATAGGAAGAAGCTTATCTACGAGTTCCTGAGTGTCACCATGATGTCCAATGCTTCTGATTGCATGATGACCAATCACAATCTTCCATTTTGCTCTTGATTCCTTCAATGCTGTTTCTAAATCCTAAGCAACATAAATCTTAATTTAGATTTACATATATGAATAACATGCCTATTCTATTTGATCCTAACTTATTGAGCTCAATAATGTTATGAACATAGAATGAATTACAAAATATTTACATAAAATGCAGTGAAATGTTAGGATTTAATTTAATTCTGAAGAGATCCATATTAATATCGTTTCTATAACTTGTTTTGTATTTTAATTATGTGTTCTATTTCTTTTATAAATTTGTGTGACTTTTACTTAAAATTAATAAGACAAAAATAATAATTTAAATAAAAGGCTGATTATAAAAAAGTTGGAGAACATATTCTTTTTAATTTATGATATCTTATTATTAGTTTTCAGTTAACAAAAAGTTATGTAAAATAATGGAACCTGTTGTATTTTTCTCAAATCTCAAAAGAGAACAGTGCAATTATCGTAATAATAAGATAGAAATAATATAAAAATTATAAGAAATCCCTATAAGCTGCACCAAATAGAATCAAAGTTACCTTCAATAGATTTGCAGTGTAAACCTTTGGAGATGTCACCCCTCGCCAATCATAAGTATGCTTCTCGGTATTGGTAAAGTACATTTCAACGAAAGGGGTTGTATCTACAAAGAATAGTTCGGCTAATTCTAGAAATAACAAAAAACACACACCCAAAAAGAAAAAAAGAAAAAAAAAAGTGTTAAAATTAATAGTCAATTAATTGTATTTTGATTAATGAAAAAAGGAGTAATTAATCAAATGAAATGAAATGAATGAACCTGCTGCATTGACAACAAAAGATCTCAAGCAAAGCCATCTGCTATCAATTTTCCTAAGGAGAGGACTCAATTGTGCTTCTGCATCACCCCTATAATCATGATTGCCCAACACTGCGTGCTCATGGATGATATAAAAGTATATAAATTATAAATATAAATTAGAGATTCGAAATGAGAATTATAAGAAGAAATTAATTTCTTATCATTTCACTCAATTTCTCTTCTATTTAAAAGATCTCAAGCAAAGCCATCTGCTATCAATTTTCCTAAGGAGAGGACTCAATTGTGCTTCTGCATCACCCCTATAATCATGATTGCCCAACACTGCGTGCTCATGGATGATATAAAAGTATATAAATTATAAATATAAATTAGAGATTCAAAATGAGAATTATAAGAAGAAATTAATTTCTTATCATTTCACTCAATTTCTCTACTATTTACTTATTCAAACAATTGAAATCAATTATGAAAAATACATTTATTCTGTTTTCTTTTTTTTTTCAAATCATCCAATACAAATGGGCTATAATGAAGTGGTGACACATCCAAAAAAATATATATATTAATCATTTCCTTATTAATTTGATGACAATTGGAAAATGTTAGAAGTACTTGCCGGTGTACCACTGCTTTTGGAGGCTGTTAGCTGTATAGACGTTGGTGAATGACTCCTCAAATGCGACGTCGTGTTCTCCGATCAACCCATTGTCGTAGAAATTGTCACCAGTCGATACTACAAAATCTATGTCTAAATTCTCTCCAACCACTCCCATCTACACAAAAACAAAACAACAATGACAAGACATGGAAGTTAAAGGCTGTGTTTGGGAAGGATTTTTTTTTTTGTTTTTTTCACTAAAAGACAAATTGGTTACAAAATTAAAAAAAATAAATTCAAACAAAATATCACATTAAACCCTATAATCATTTCACTTTTCCTTTCACAAACATCACATTCAATTACAAAAAAACCCAATTATCTTCCCAAACATAAAAAAAAGAATTCTCCAATAATATCCTACAACTAAAAAAAACTACAAAAAAATTCAATTCCCAAACATCCACAAAATATTATTAGATTAAGACTTTGTTTGTAATATATTATTTTAATAATTTTTTAATTTTTACGAAAAGATATGTAAAAAAATAAAAAGATTGATATGATAATTTATAATGACTTTTTGACTAAAACTAAAGATTAATAGAAAATTCATTTAATTTATAATGACTTTTTGACTAAAACTAAAGATTAATAGAAAATTCATTAAAAAAGCTAAGAATTATTTAATATTTTTCCAACTTAATATAGGCATAATGGACCTTTTCAAACTCACCTCACCGAATAAAGTGTTTAAAAAATTATTTTTCGATTCAAACTCTCGTGTCTTTAGAGTCGTGTTTAGATAATGAATTGAAATATAGATTTGAAAAGAAATTTTATCTAAATTCATAATTCAAACACACAATCTTAAAACAAAATGGCGTGAAAGTACCTGAAGAGCAACTAGAGATTGGTTGAATTGGCCTCTTCTACCCCAATCACCGATGACCAAAAAACTAACAGAACCACCATCATTCCCTTTGGTAGTAGGCGTATGTTCAAATCTTCGAAGCTCTGCACTACTCCTCTTACTATAACTTATTGTTGTTACCAAGCACAATCCCAACACCAACAACAGATTCCTCATCCTCATGGATTGTTCGTTGTCTCTAAAACACTCCCTTCAATGAAACCACAGTATTCCAACAATATAGCTATATCTCATTGCCCTTCAAATTAACACAATATTTAAATCACAGAGAGAGAGAGAGAGAGAGAGAGAAGGCGTCAGCTGGTGTGAGAAATCCGTGCATGGGAATGGACAATTGGTGTGACGGTGATGGAGAAAGAGACAGTGATCCAATTTGTCCATATATATGCGAATATGCTATTGGATCCGGATCTCCACTCTCATCAACCCTATCCAGAGAGAACCCTTCGAATATTCGAGGATCTTTTTCAACTCCCCGGTATTTCAAGGGATGATTACGGGTTAGATTTGGAACGGGTTTGTAGTAATTCGTTCCTGCCCTGTTTCATATCAAGTGTGAACAAATTAGGAGTGGCGGTGGTGGGGCGGGAGACCCATTTTTTTAAATTAAAAAATAAAAATATTAATAAAATTTATAATATATTATGAATAATAATTCATATTATAACAAATGAGATAGAAAATAAATGATTAAAAATTAATATTAAGTATAATATTTTAGTATTTTAATTTTATTATAATGAAAAAATTAAATTATATATAAATATAATCGAGATGAGGTTGGGTAGAATGTGACAAGGTAAGCAAAATCCATTCCCGCCCCACTTCCTCAACGGGCTCAGGAAAAACCCGTATAGGACTGGACAGGGGATGTGGGTGGAAGAAAATGTCCATCCCTAGTCTTTCTCCTCACTACTTCTCTATCACCTTGCCTCGTTCATGTTTTATCATTTTTTCACTTTGATCTTAAAAGTTTAGTTTTTTTTTTCACTTTAATCCTTCATGTTTTAAATTTTTCTTAATTTACTCTTAAATGTAACTTTTGTTTAAAATTAGATAGAAAATATCAGAATAACTATCACATAATATAAAAAATATATTATTATATTGAGGTTTGAGTTTGTGTAAAAGATGTGAGTTATATATAATAAAATATATGTATATTATGCGACTGTTTATGTGTCATTTTTTACTTAATTTTGAATAGAGTTAGTTTTAGAAGTAAATTAGGAAAAATTTTAAACATAAAAAGTTAAAGTAGGAAACAAAAATTTTAAGGGCAAAGTGAGAAAGTGATCAAATATGAAGGGGCAAAGTGTGGAGATGGGGTCACTGTTGTGACTTCCTCACTGTTGCTCCTATTGCACCTTAAAACGACGTCGTTTCAAGCCTTTTTCTTTTTTCCCTTCTCGTGTGTGTGGGTTTGTGTGTGAGGAAAAACCAACCTTGTTTTTTTTTTTTTTTCCCTTTTCCCCCAATTGCCATACAGATTCTTATCTATTTCCATTGTCATATAAAGAAAGAATTCAGAACAATTATATTAATTGAATATCGTGTACGAACTATATCTAACTACTTTGTTTTTTTTTCTCCATTGTCTTCTATTTCCTCAATCAACAAGTCTCCAAATTCTCAATCTGGCAAAGAATCAAACTGTAGCCCTCCGAAAGTATAGTGTATCGCCTTTGGTAAGTATTTGAATCACCCTTAACAATCTTATTGTGACCCACAAGAAAGTTCCAAACAAACGAAACAAAACTCCGAATTCACAACCTCTAATGTTAACAACACCTGATTCCTCGAATGTCCAGAATTTTACAACACCATAGATGACCTATTCTTTCTGAGATCACCACCCCTTTCATTTTCGTAGTCTCTTTAGGTGTGTAGTTGTGTTGAGAACACATTATAATAGCATAATTCTAGTCCACCAAGTTGTTTAATTTCTTAATTTCGATAGCCGTCAAGGCACCGCAACAGTTTGCTGATGAAACCATGGCACTGGTTGCGCTACCGAAGTACTTTGCCATAGACTTCTCTCCTACATCTATATATATGGTGTTATGACTATGTATATATACGTGATGTGTATAGATTTTATGGAGAAATGAGAATGGAAGTTGCTTAATTGGGTTTGTATTCTATTCCCACTATAGGTGTAACGCCCTGAAAATAATAACAATAAACGAGACTAATAATTAATTAAGCAACATCATAATCCGAAAATAAGTCCTTACATTCATATACCTCTAGGTTACAAAAGAATAACACATGTATTTATACATTCATAAGTTCTAACCTTGAATCTATAGCATGTGTTATAAACAAAAGGTATGAAATAAAATTTAAACAGATATATAATTGTCCTAGTGGCTACAACTTTCCAATACGGTGCTTGGTTACAACAAAAGTGAGTTAGAAACTCAATACAAATAAAACCCTAAGCTTGTACAAAATAATTACAACAATAACAAAAAGAGAAGCTCTTGGTTCTAAGTTCTCCCAAGCTACTTCCTTGGCGAAGGCATATCATCAGTACCTGAAAATGATTTTCCACATAGAGTGAGCCAAAGCCCAGTAAAGATATTCTAACATAGTGTATGAATATTGACAAAGTTATAAGGTGGATGCATATGCAATGCTCGTGTCAAAACACTTTATATCTCTTTCCAAAATCATGCCATGTCAACTTTATATCACAGTTTATGAAATTATTTGCTTTACAATAGAAAACAGGGCGGTGAATACAACATTAGGAATATCTAGGATATGTTTGCAAGTAGGCTACAAGCACTATCAATTTGTCATTTTTACCAGTATTAATCGGAAGGCTCGACACCTAACCGCTCGGGTTTCTAGACTTTCACCAAGGACACACAGGCCAACATAATACCACAACTACACTCCTACTCAAATTCACCAAGGTATTCACCTATTTTTCTCAAAACGATAAACATTTCCAACGTATTAAATATGTTATAATGCTCAATGCAAATGGATGAGAAATTAGTTTCAATTCACCTAATTCTCATGCAATTTCTACAACAATCATAGCTATCCTTCACCAATAACCCAAAACAGATATCTCTAAACAAATAATTAATTTTCAACACATATATACTTTCCAACATTTCCAAATATGAGTGATAATTTATATCAAACTCCACTATCATCATCGTCATTGTTCCAATTTCATAAAATCAACATCAATTCCATCTTCTCTTTACAAAAATCAAATTCTCATAATTTATTGCAAAAACCCCCTTTCTTTAAAAATCAATCTCCATGGATAAAATCTACCATTTATCCCAACCCAACCATTTTTACAAAGCCACTATAATATACGGGAACCCATTTTGGAAACCTCTCTTTGAATTTTAAACCAAAACCCTAGATTTTTGTTTAAAAATCCCCAAATCACAACATAGTTTAGAAAATCAAATAACTAAGTTAAAAACCATACAAAGTGTCAAAATAATCCCTATCTCAAAAAAGAAGACTCAAAGGAAAGATGGATAGAACTCGATAGAGCCAAAAACACGAACCTCTCCGATTAGAACGAAACCCTCAACGTGCTCTCTCTTTTTATCAAAAGGACTAGGGTGTAGAGATTGATGGATCAAGGTGTATTTGGGCCAAATGTTCAAGAACTAGAGTGAAAGAGAGAAGATCTGAGATTTTGGAGTGTTTTAGAGAAAGAGAGAAAATGGGTAAAAAAGTGATCCAAAAAGGTGACTTTATGGACTGATATACGCGTAGACTGCTCGAATGTATGAATGGTCACTCAAGCGACCAGATACAACAAGTGAGACCGCTCAAGCAAATAAAGTAACCGCTCGAGCGAAGAACACCACACTCCTGGTACTTTTGCAGGCCTGCAAAAGTACTGAGAGTTTCAAAAGACCGCTCGAGTGCAAGAAGGATCGCTTGAGCCAAGACCGCTTGAGTGCAAGAAACACCACTCAAGCGAAGAATGCCATACTCCCAGTAGTTTTGTAAACCTGCAAAAGTACTGGAAGTTCTCAAAGTTCACTCAAGCGAATAAGCAAAAATTCGGGCAACACAGTTTTGAAAAGACTAACTCTCAACCTGTTTTAAACACAACCAAAACACTCCAATAACTAAACTCAACAAGGAATAAGATGGAAGAAGACATGAACAACCATTAAGGCAAGAAAACCCAGATACAAGACAATAAACGGGTCGAGTTTAAACTAGAGTCGCTATAGTGGGTGTGATGGTGCCTTTGCTCAAAGCTCAAGTTGATTTTTTCCAAAACTCAAGAAGAAAAAAAACAAAAATGAAAAAAGAAATAAGAAAGAAAAGGTCAAAACTGTGCCGTTTTAAGGCACAGCAAGTAGAAAGTCAAAGTAGTGACCTCGTCTTTGGCAAAGTGTAATTTATCCTATTGTTTATGGATTATGAATTTGAATGGGGGTTTGGCATTTGATTTTTCTGATTTTTTATAAAAGGATGTGCAAAAAAAAAAATAGAGAAAGTGATGTGATAACTTTTGTAATTTTTTACTTTTTGGTTTTCTTTGTGGTGTCCCCAAACCACCCTTGAGTAAAAATTAAAAACACTACAACAAAATGCACCTTTGGCGACCAAAATTGGTGACTAAAAAAAATTTAGTCACCAAAAGTTGTGAAATTGGCGACCAAAATTTTTTTAGTCAGCAAAAGTATAATATTTAGCTACTAATTTTTTTTAGTCGGGGTATATTGATTATTGGCGACTAGAAAAAAATTTAGTCACTAAAAATAAAAGAATTGGCGATAAAAAAAATATTTTAGTTGCCGTATATTGAGTTTTGGCTACGAAAACAATTTAGTCGCCAAATGTAAAATAAAAAATTATTTTTTATCTTTGGTGACCAAAAGTTTGGTCGCCAAAAACATATTTTTAATGACAAAAAATATTTTAGTTGCCGTATATTGAGTTTTGGTTACTAAAACAATTTAGTCGCCGAATGTAAAATAAAAAATTATTTTTTATCTTTGGCAACCAAAAGTTTGGTCGCCAAAAACATATTTTTAACGACAAAAAATATTTTAGTCGCCGTATATTGAGTTTTGGTTACTAAAACAATTTAGTCGCCGAATGTAAAATAAAAAACTATTTTTTATCTTTGGCGACCAAAAGTTTGGTCGCCAAAAAAACTTATTTTCTTGTTTTATCTTATGACTTATTCACCCAAAAAAAAAAACTTATTTTCAGCGACAAAAAAATATTTTAGTTGCCAAAAAACTAAAATATTTGAAAGGAGACATTTCAAATTTTGGAGGGATTTAAAAAATTAATTGGCGACTAAAAATATTTAGTTGCGAATAGTGTAATATATATATATA